TCTATCTATCTATCTACTTATCTATCTATCTATCTATCTATCTATCTATCTATCTATCTATCTATCTATCTCCCTATCTATCTATCTATCTATCTCCCTATCTATCTATTTAATCTATCGGTTCTTTACACAACGGTTTACCTGTTGGACTGCCTATTTTTGCTTATGTATTTGTTACGTCTGTATAGTTCACCATAGTCCACATGCTTCCTTTAAATTTTGGACTTTTGTCTATCTGTGAAGGCTCCTGTGGTTAAGCGACCTGGCCCTTCAACGGTCCAACCTGGAACACCTGAGATCGATTGCCGTGAGGGAAGAATTCTTTTTGAGCATCTCGTTCTTTCTTTTAAGACGATGTGTTCCTCTCAGCCCGGGTCGGTCCTGACAGCAACAACAACAACAACAACAACAACAACAACAACAAAACAACAACAACAAAACAACAACAACAAGAACAGCAACAACAACAACAACAACAACAGCAACAAGAGTGAACAAGAATTATACTCATAAACTCACTATATCAACAGCAACATAAATTAGTACATTCAAAACAAAACAAAGCCAAACCAAACGAATAAAAATAATCACAACACACGTACGCATTTCTAGTCTTCAGGCAACAGTAAATGATAAAGACGATGATGGCGACGAGGAGTATGAAGCCAGCTACGCAGCCGATGATGATGAGAGCGACGATTGCCGGGTCGCTGATGGACGTGCTGTCGTCATCGCTAGTTCCGTCCACGTAAGGATCCACGCTGGTCACCGTGACGCCCCCACCCGTCACGCCACCTGCCGGTGTCCCAGACGGGTCGCTCTGAAGAACCTGGGGAAGAACAAAAAATAGTGGTTGATTGATTGAAGTTTTTGTTTTAGTAGAGGTTTTACTGCGCTCGCAACTGCGTAAGGTCATATGAGCGCCAGAAGATTAGAGGTGTTACGAGATATTAACAAACATAAAAAAGAAGGAGGGGAGATAAGGACGATAGATGTTTGATAGGAAAAAAGGAGCAAACCAATCCAGACCACCGGCCAACCACCCAAAATGATTTAAGTTGTATGCCCCTTTTGATACAATTGGGGTCATTCCGAAACAGTCACAGATGGGTTAAGGATATTTGTGTAAGCTGGAGCTCATGGAATGTCCCTCCTACAGGCCACTCGTCTTGCTTCACACAGACGCCTGTATCTCCCTGCGACACTCACCGGTACAAGCGGAAGAAAAGAGTTTTAAAAAAGTAAAGTGAAGTAAGTATACACTGGGGGAAAAGGACAATGATAATCTGTCCTTTTGACTCAATTGGGGTAATTCCTACACAGTCACAGATGGATTAAGGTTATTTGGAGAAGCTGGGAAAGAAGAAAAATGATAATTTGTTATTATTTTGTCCTCTTTGACTTAATTCAGCTCATTTTCCGATTCTTTCAGATGGATTATTCAGTCGAGTTCGAGAAAAAAGATAAGTAATGGTTAATTATAAAGCATTAGATGTCGTTACGTCTACAGACTAGACGCCACAGTATTTTATTTTCTTGTTTTCCTCATTCTTCAAAAACAGCCTTTTGTCTGCACCAGAACTGTATTTTCATAATATCAAATCTTAATTCCTGTCTGAATATTTTGTTGGGAAATCAAACTTGTAGCTTTGAATCTTTTTATGATGAAAATGGTCTACGTTCCTATACACATTTTCAACAGAACCCAATGCTACAAAATAGAGACTAGGCCTACGACTTGTAAGAGTTAATGTTTCCAAGTCCTACAGATACACATTAGGTCCTTTCCAATAGACTCAGATGCGCGCTCATATGACCTTATGCAGTTGCGAGCGCCGTAAAACTCTTACCAAACTAAGATTCAGATAATTCACTCTGTAGAAGCTAAGGAAATTTTAAAACAGGATTGATAGCAAATGCTTTAAATCGTTTTTAGCACAATTTATATCATCTTCCAATGGTCCCAGATGGGTAGCTCCGAAGAAGCTGCAACGAGGAAGAAGAAAAATGATTGGTTATTAATGTCTTAATGCTCACCGTGAGGACCTCTGTCTGAGTCAGGAATGTCTTCGTCATGTCCACGTTCTCTTGGAGATCTGCCGCACTATCATTCACGACGACAACCATCGCAGCAGACCTAGGGGAGGGTAAGAAGGGAGGGGGGGGGGTTAAGACTGGTTTGATAGCTGACACACAACGACATATCAGTATAGGTAAAAGTAAATTTCAGTCCCCCCATCACGTCTTTTCCACGCCTACATACGCATCTTGATGACCAAAGCATGGTTTACCTATTTCCTGAAAGACATTACTGCGGCTTGACAGTGGGCCCCCATCCCACCTCGGATGTACAATAAGAATGACAATTGCATTTACGTAGTGCATATCCCACCCAGCCAGGCCATCAAACTTGCTAGAGACAGGAAGCTCTTTCTCCCCCCGACGCCCTAGAGGTACAAGAGGACAGATAAAGTAAAGTAAAGTAAGACATGGTGCATGG